AGTGTTGCGTCCGCACCTCGCTCAGCCAGTGAGCGGGAACCGGTCTGTATGTGGGATCCGAACCCTCGGCAGGAGCGCCGCCACGCTCCCAAGCAGCGCACTGTAGCAGTGCGCCACCCGGCTGGCCCTAAGGCAGGTTCTTATAAACCCTCGGCGGGAGCGCCGCCACGCTCCCAAGCAGCGCACTGTAGCAGTGCGCCACCCGGCTGGCCCTAAGGCAGGTTCTTATGCAAACCCCTCAGGGTCAGAGGGCTGGCTTCCCTGGCTCCAGGGAGCTCTGCACAGAGCAAAGGGCTCAGTCAGTCAACAAATATTCACTAACTATCACTCACTCTGAACTATCTATGCTGGATGAAGAGAATTCTGAGACAGACCAGACGGAGCTCCACCTCCTCAACTCTAAGTCCAAGCACTCTGAGGCTGTTCCTGGAATGCAAGGGCATCCAGAACTCAGGAGAAAGTGATACCTGGGCGCTGAGGATGAGCAGACACGGACACGCAGGACCGAGGAGGGCAATGCAGGTGGAAGGTATGGCACCAGATACATAGGGACCAGCTGGGGCATCGGGCTGCTGTGAAAACAACACTCCTGGGAGATGTGGCTGGAGAGACCCAGGCTCTGGACCCCACACCCAGAGGAGGGGCGGGGGAGCAATGGGCTCTGTGCAGGGAAACATGGAGGGGCAGTGAGATGTTCTCTGCAGGGCAGTGTGCACGCAGATCGACAGGGCGGGGGCTGGTGTAAGTCAGAGTGGGCTGTACCTTACTGGGCTCATCTGGGAGAACAGTGTTGAGACGGTGGGTGTAGCAGGCAGCTGTGATAGGACTTAGCAGTGGCTGCTCATTGGAGACCAAGGACAAAGCCCAGGTGGACACATAGGTCTGGGCGCTGCAGGGAAGGGGGCCCAACACAGAGACCCAGACTGTGGGCCAAGCATGGGCTCACAGCAGGTAAGTATGGGGCATACGCTGCAGGTTGGGGCAAAGGCTAACCGTTAAGTCACATGAGCAAGGAGCAGCCTTCAGCCCTTACCCCAGCCTGCCGACCCCACAACACAGCACACTAAAAACAGCCTGCGTCCCCAAACTGGATCAAATCTAGGTGGGGCCCTTCAGGGCAGACCGACAGGCTCTCTTCTGGGCAGACCGACATGCCACAAATATCAATTCTCCAGAATCCCAGGAGGAATCCCAACAGTAGAATATGCAAGAAACACATGGAAATGCAACCAACCAACCAAGTTGCAGAAAAATATTCAACCTCATCAGTAACTAAAACAAATGCACCATCTTCTATACTGAAATTAGCAAGAGTTTTTTGTTTTGTTCTGTTTAATTAAAACACAATCCTAAGGCATCATAAAGTAAAACAGAGACACATACACTGCTAACAGGCATGTAACCCATGTCAAAACCCTAGTCCCTCACACACACATTCACCAAACACCTACTACGTACCAGGCTGCACGCTGGCTAGGTACTGCGGACATGGAAATAGATAAGGCACAGTTTCCTCCCTCAAGAACTTAGAACTGAAGGCTTACTGTTAGTCTTTTCCTAGGAACCTCTATTCTTGGAAACTGACTCAAAATATCATCCAGGCACAAGACACAAAAATATTCAATGCAACCTTCTGAACACAAAACATTACAGAGAAGAAAATCAAAATGCCCACCAGGGAAATGGAGACCTGAACCATGGTATAGGCTCTCAACAGAATATTAAAGGCCATAAAAATATGATACTTATAAAGAGTTTGCAACAGTAACGGCAAACAACCTACACTGTAATATGTGAACAATACAGAGGCCCAAAATCGTATGTGCACTAGGAGCTCAGCAGGCAGAAGCAAATTGCACAGGAAAACGAATTCCGAGAAAGATACGAAAGTGCTCAGGGTGTTGGGAAAATATAATGGTCCTTTTTCTTCGTTCTCCTTTTCTGCATTTTAGACATTTTTCTATGTGCATAATGGAAAAAGCAATAAACTTTCAATAGCAGCACAGACCACAAGTGGGACATAAAACAAGTGGTACCAAAGTAGGACCCAGACATACCTTTGACATTGCTCAATGACAGGGAGCGCTCCTGGTCCGCCAGCCCAGGCCCCAGCCGACCACTGCCACCACTGTCCTTTTGCCGGGCCACGGCCACTGCAATGCCCACTGGCGGGTGTCGCACTTCTGCCTCACCCTGGGCACCAGAACTCTCTCGCCCGAAGGCCTTGGCGCTCTCGGGCCTTTCTGGGTCCCGCTTCAGCTGTCGGGCTGCACCCGCTGCAGGGCCTGCAGGGTGCAGGAGGCGGGCCTGGGCACGAGGGGCACCCGCGGAGGTGGGGGCAGGCTCAGGTTTCATGGTTCCCAGGCCTCCGAAGGGGCTCTTCTTGCCACAGCCGCCAGGGCGCACAGCCACTGCCTCGCGGGTGAAGCTGCCGCTGTACTTGATGAGGCTCTGCATGGCCGAAGCTTCTCCAGGCCCATGGGCCGCGGGGTGCATGTCAGCACCAGGCCGGCCGCACGTGGCCACCGCGCGAGGCAGCGCGCCCCCTGGGTCCAGGTAGGCCTTCTTGGAGACGGCTGCAGCCTCTTCATCGGCCCGGCTGGCGTGGTGGTGCTGCGCTGCCAGCACGGCCATCTGCGTGGTGGCGAAGTTGCCCAGCTCAAAGGGCTTCCACTTGTGGTCAGGGCCAGCGGGTGGGGGTGGCCGCCCGGGCTCCAGGCCAAAGAGCTTGGCGGCCTGCTGGGTGCCGGCGGGGCCGCGTGGTGCGCGCTCGCAGGGCCGCGGCTCGGCCTCGGGCTTGAGCAGCTCCTTGGGCGGCAGGTAAGCCCGGGGGTCCGGGGAGGTGCGCGCGGCCCTGGCTGGCGGGGCGTCGGCGGGTGGCGGCCGCTTG